TTAGCAAATCATGCGATAAGGAAAGGTTGCACATTGTTTAGGTAATATATGGTATGATGGAATCTATTAAATGAATGGAATTATTCAATTACATTGAAATTATAAAAGAAATTGTTCGTATCTGTCATATGTAATGTAATGGACAATTTTTGAAGGACATTTGTACTTTTCATTATGCTAAAAGACTATTTATAATCCTATTACAACGTTGCTTGTTTCGATTTTTGTAAAGTCTAATAGAACAAATGCAAAGGAAAAAAATTACATGTTATATACATCTTTTATTAAAAAAACCTATATAATCGACTTCTAGATCATTAAATAGCTCTCATTACAAAATTGAGTTACTTTTTCCTTTTAATATAATATAAGGCAACATGTCAAAAAAATAAATGTTATTTGAAAAGGAAAAACCTCTCAATAAACTTTTGACTTTTGCTTACTAGTAAAAGATAACTCATGTAAATAAAAAGAATACCAGCAGCTTTTTCACAGTCCAAAATTGTACATAAGACTTTTCTTTTCTCCCAATTAGATGTTAAATTTTCTGACATGCATGTGTCCTTTTTAACATAACCATTTTTTATACTTCATTATCTTAACTAAATTTATATTATAAGTTTTTAACATGTAAATAACATTCCCTTTTACAACATTGTAAATAAACGAGTGTCAAATTTATTTGAATTTGAATATATATATAGAAATAGAGTTAGAAAAATTATTATTATTATATTAGTATAGAGAGAGAGAGAGAGAGAGAACGAGAGTTGTGAGGATTTTTATGAGGGTGGTTGATGAGTACGACTAATGAATAGTGAGTGCAGTAGTAGAGGGATGCAGTCCTGGGTTTGATGGTGTACTTAATGTATAAATAAGAAGCAGAATAAGAGGACAAGACGAAAGGATACTTAAAGTTAAAATAAAAATAAAAAAAAGGAAGAGGCTACTACTACAACTACTACGCCTACGATTAGGAGTTAGGTATATAGGTCTCAGGTGATCTACAAATGCATATACAATACAGCAACAAAAGCTGTCTTTTCTTATTCCCCGAGCAGACGCTCTTTCTATTTCTCTCTCTAGGTTAAATATATAGACAAAGAATTTGTTTCATTAAAGCAACTCTTCTTCCCATCATATTGTGTCTCGCTCTTTTTTTTTTCTTTCTCTTACTAGCTTTCTGCATGCCTGTAATAGCGCATGAACTCTCTATATCTCTCTCTCTCTCTGTCATAGGATATATCCCCCATGCTGCTAAAGTCTTTCTATCTTATCAATTCCAATTTTGTTTTCTTTTCTTTTCTCCACTCCTCTCCACTATATTATATTATAATAATTTCTAAAAAGGAGTATCTTACTCTTTTAATTAATTCTAATAGGCCCCACTAAACTTCATATATACTCATTCATGACCACCATGATTTAAACCGGTCAACAATTTTTTCTTACTAATAGTATTTTTCTTATAATAAAAATGTATTGGTTATTTGATAATTTATGGATATGAAGTTAAACGATATATTCATAGTGAATACGTCAATGACAATGTTCTCAAGATCGGGATCCTACTTAGGATCGTTTTTGGGTTTGCAAGATCGGGATCGGGATTCTAAAATCTCACAAAATAAAATATAATTTTAATTTATAATTTTTAATCATGAAAAATATTTCAAACATTCAATTTTTCGTTCAAAAGCTATAAAAACTTCAAAATATTAGCCATAAGGTATAATATACAAAATGATAAATGGTAAAAGACATAAAGTGGTAAAATAAAATTATTTGCAAAAAAAAAAAATCAAAGGAAGGTAGGATCTGATCGGACCTCGATCCTATCTACGATCTTACGATCCTACCTGCGATTCTACCCTAAATACGATCCTTTTGAGATCTCGATCGTTTTTCATACCTAGGATCGTACGATCCTACGATCAGAATCGTGATTTTGACAACCATAGTCAATGGGGTAAAACATTGGATTTCAAGATTTGGCGTCTCAAAAGAAAATTAATAGACCTTATAAAATGTAAATTGTAGATGAGACTCTGTTCATGACCCTATTTTTAGTGAAAAGTCTGTATAAAATGAAAATATTAAGAACATCAGCAGTCGTAACACTATTTTCTTCAGAACAAATAATACAAACTTATTTAGATTTTAGAGAACATTCCTTATATTTATTAGTTTTTTTACACATTTCTCTTGTTCTTTTCGTTTATTATTAAACAAATATAACCAAATAAATAATTCGGATATAATTAATTCGAATTAGTTATATAATTAAAACAAACATTTTAAAAATAAAAGCATAAGTAAATATATACTTCAAATTTTAAAAAAAATCTGAAATTCTCTTTATAATTTATATATAACTATACAATTAATTACCTAGTAACCTCTCATTGTCATTGTCATTATCATATATTAATAACCAATAATATCTTTGTAGAAAATAACTGGTATAAAACTATGTTGGGAAACTCATGCTTGATTTTAACATAAGTTTCCTCCCTATCTCTTCTATATGCTTCTTTGGTCCCATGGCACTATATAACTTGTATTGGTCCCATGGCACTATATAAGTTGTGTTGGGAAATGGGGTTGAAAAGGGAGTGTTGATTGATCAAATCATTTGGATAGTTGTAAAATCGATTGATCACTTTACTTGAAATCAATTTGCTCCATGTTAATACTAGTTGGGAATCCACAAACAATTCCCCACAATAATTGTAAAATGAACAGTTAAATTCTTAGCCACAAGAAAATACGCAAAATTGTATTTTGAGTAGTTGAAGGAATCCACAAACAATTCCCTACAACAATGGTTTCGATGGTTTGAGAGCGAATTCTCGATATGAAAACTGTCTAGCTGCCTTTGATATGATAATTGATTCGACGTCATGGTTGTCCATGAAAAGGCAACGTAACAGTTTTGGTAACACACTCTGCTCCTTGACCTCTAACCATTCATCTTGATCGATATCAAAGTCATCTTATGCAAATGTGCATTATGAAACAATAGATTTGAATTCGATAACATGTTTAATCCCTTTTAATGGTTATAAAAATTCCAGTTACTTTAAATGACAACAAGTTGAGTTTTATAGTTCCTTTTTGCATATTCATAGTTTGCGTGATAAGGACTATGAAACACAAGTATATCAGAATTGTTAGTTTGAAATGGAGGCTTGGATGTAGAATTAGTAGTTAAAATTTTAAAATTTGGAGAGTAGTAGAATTTTGTACAACAGTTTTGAATCCTAAATTTGAAAAAGTGTCTTTGGTAGAACCCAAATCTCACAAAATTAAAGATGCTTTTGCGAAGCATAAATTTATATGGAGTTTGGGGTTTTGTTATTTCGAAGTGCTCGTTGGAATTCTTATGGTTTAATATTGGTAATAAGAAGTTTCAAAAAATAATACCACAAAACCACTTTAAAATGTCTAATACAAAATTTTCATAAATATTTAATGACTTTAACAAGGAGTTTTAATATATATATATATATATATATATATATATATATATATATATATATATATATATATATATATATATAATTTTCTCTGTATTTGATGACTTATTTAAAGCATCTCCAAAGACACTCTAAACATGGTGTCATGAATATCTCTAAAAAAAAAAAAACTAGCGCCTTGAAAAAACTCGCACCAAAATATGCTTTAACGACTTGGCATGTTTTTTGTGCGCAACGCGTCGCTAACTTGTCTTGGTGCGCGCCATGACACATCTTTTGGAATCATGGTGGTTTTACTCCAAATTAGGAATACCACTATTCCTTACTTTATTTTTATAAACTATGAGTTTCATTTATTATATTTAACCCTCTGAGTTTGATTTTGATTTTGAATATATTTAATTTATTTAACTTGTTTTAGTTTTGAGTTTATATACTTTAATTTAATTTAATTATCATGTCATATTTTAAATGTAATATTTATTTGAAATGTATTTGAAATTTGATAATTTGTTTATTATTTATAGCACCATAATATAATTTACAAAACTTTAATTGCCATATATATATATATATATATATATATATATATATATATATATATATATATATATATATATATATATATATATATATATATATATATATATAACTTGCTTGCATTTTTATAAGTCTTTTTTTTTCTAAACACACACACACACACATATATATATATATATATATATATATATATATATATATATAATACCAATTCTAATAAACTTAAAGTTTTTGTAACAACTTTTTCTAACCAAATTTGTAAAACTGAATAAATTTAAAAGATATTTATGAAAATCTATAAGTTTGAGAAAACAACATATTTGGAATATTTTTTGTTTTATAAAATAGAATGAAAAATAAAATAATTTCTGAGATTAAACGTTGTTAAGTATATTTTACACCCTAATAGTAGAATAAAAAATAGTGTGTTTGAAAATGGTTAAGTTATTTTTCTTATTAGGTATATTATTATATATTGTCAAACACTAAATAAAAAATTATTAACTTATTATCTTTAGATACTGATGAATTAATGATTCTTTTTAGTTTCGTATTGACTGCATGATTGTTTTTTTTTTTTTTTTCTTCATATTAACACGGAAAAAGATTGAAATACATAGGTTAGTTTTAAACCGATATCTCATACAAAAGGGCTTCTAGTCCGGCGATAGATATTTCATACTTTCTTTTAGTTTTAGTAAAATGTTTTAGTGAAGTGTGTTTGAAAATGGTTAAGTTATTTTTCTTATTACACATATTCTTATGTATTGTCAAACACTAAAATAATAAAGTATTAATTAAACAGTTATCGCATACTTTTGTTGTTCCAAATTATTTAATTTCATCCTATATAAACTAATATAACTAATCAAAATGGTCTTCCTAATGCTTCATTTTATGTAGGATTTATATTCCAAAAGTGCCTCGTGTTTGTTAATTATTATACGATATTTTAGATATTATTTTATGTGATTATTGCAGGTTTGTAGAACATGGCGAACTGTCTCTCAGTCTGACCTCCTATGGCAGAACCTAACCCGACGAATCTGGCATCGACACCACCTCCTCCACCTCACTTGGCACGAAGAATACATTTACCGCCACCGAACTGCCAGAAACTTCCGTCTCCGGCGGTGTATCTACACCACACTCCACTTCCCTCCAAACGACGACAACACCAACGAAGGCCTCTCCTGCCACCGCCTCGCCCTCTCCGACTACCTCCTCGCCGCAGGCTTTTCCGATGGCTCAGTCCGCCTCTTCCACCTCCCCACAAGGTTCCACCTCTCCACCTTCCACCCACACCAACGCAACCATCTCGGCCCCTTCTCCCGCGCCGTCTGTGGACTCTTCTTTTCCGATGACCGTCTCATCTTCGCCTCCCTCGATGGCGATATCCACGTCGCATCTATCAACGTTCCCGGCGCCACACGGCGGGCACACTTGGGTGACGTCGTCACCGACGGTGTCCTTGTCGATTTCGCCGGTTGTAACCAGTGGTGGATCGGCCTTTACGCAGGTAATTCAAATACATTCTTTTTTCAATTTCTTCACTACAATCAGATTAATATCTCGAATTTAAAAAAAAAAAAAAAAAAAATCAATTCTTAGGTCTTCCAGATCGTGCATTTCACGTGCGAAATGGTAACACCGAAGAGCTTGTACACATCGGAGGCACATTAACCAACCCGGACGCTGTAATCGGGTGGAGCTTACTGAACGATCTGACGGAGCATATTGGCCGGATCCGAATCGCAAGTGAAGATCTGGCCGTTGGTTTCACGAGCAGTAAAGTTTTAGTATTTGATCTAAGAAACCAGATAACTTTACGGGAGGAGGAGGTTATGAGAGTTATAAATGTTGGGGAGGAGGAAGAGGAGGTCGTGGGAGATATAAACGTCGGGGCTGCTGATGCGTATGATAAGGCTCTTGTGTTCGTAAATACTAGGGGTGTAGCTAACGTACGCCATGTGGGTAGTTTGGAGGAGATTTGTAGGTTTCTGGCTAGAGGTGCGTTGTTGGGTTGCATGAATGGTGGTTACTCATTTATTAGTACTAGGGGTGGTATTAGGGTTTGGGAGTTGGATCATGGGGAGTATTTGTACATTTTTAGAGAGAGGATAGGGGATATCACAGCTATGGTTGCCGATGAGAGGTATTTGGCGGCTTGTAGTAGCGATAACACTATTCACTTGTGGGACTTTGGAGCACGGTAATAGCGGTAGACCTGTCCATTTTCGTGGACATATAACCGTCTGATCAGATGGAGAACTATCTCCATTTGTTCAGACGGTTATAGTTGTAGACTTGCTGTGTAAGTCTACAACTATCGAATTGCGTGATATTGGTGTTGGATGTATTGGAGTAGGGTTTGATTTGTTATGGTTTGACATTTGAGATTGCTGGTATAGTTATTATTAGTTAATGGATGGTGTAGTCATGTGGTGGTAGGTAGGTTATATGCATTTCGCATGGTGAAGAAGAATTGGTGATGGTTAGGTTTTAATTTCAGAAAAGTCTTGCCTTTGTGTACATTCATTTTTAGAGATTTGTCATTTGTTTGCTTTTCCATTCTAATTACAAATGCTTTCCATGTTTTTTTTTTTGTCTTTTTTATTTGCATCCAGTCTAACCAGTCTTAATCCTGAAATTCAACATAAGAAACTACTATTAAACTTTCCGTTTCATCTTTCAGGTTAAGATTAACATTTCTTATCCATCACTAAAAGACATTAAACATGAAAAGTCTTTCATACAAATAATCAATGTGGATAGGAATCGTGTAAGACGTTTAGCACATATAGTTTCATGAGTGGATGTGTTGAAACATTTCGTTGTTTCCTACTGTTCCATGTTATAAGAGAATCAACAACAAACAATTGTAATTGAACATCTAGGATTAACGCAATTTTCCCATTGCGTGCTAACTCAAGCATAATATCTGGGTTTTTGAGAATATTTAATTTTTCAAAACTGATCTTGAGTCGGATCATTTTGAAGAACATGATGTGATCCTGTCACTAATATATGATGATATTTAGAGAAAGCTTAGTAACTGGCCAAAGTTGCTTTATGTACTATGTTACTCTGCATACTTATTGAAGACCACCTTATTCAATCTTAGGTTATTACTAATGGTCTTTGGCCTAGGGGTAAGATAGTGACTTTTTCATAAGTAAATTAGTTTTCTATTTCATAAAAATATATCAAATTCTAACAATAAATGAGGCTTACAAACTCTAAATATTTGATGAATGACAAAATGAAACTCATACACTCTTGTATGCGTTAGTTTGAGTTAGCAATGTAAAACACTCTTTAATGATTTTTATTTATTTATTTATTATGTGTGAGACTTGTGTATTATACGGGTTTATAAAAAAAGTTTAATATAAATATATAACCATTACATATTTTTTAGAGTAATAATTTTAAATAAATACACTGAATATAATAAATAAAGTAAGTAATTTAATATATAATGTAAAATATTTGAAATGTTGTAGAACATTTTTTATGAAATTAAATAGAATGATCTGTTTTACATATATAAATTTCATTAGAATATGGATGTTAAATTTAAGAAAATAAAAAATACAAAAAAATGACAAGTGAAAAAAAAAAAAAAATTCAAAAACTCTTAGAAAATAATATGTGTTAAATTCAATGAGAATATAACATGTGGTAAAATTGATTTTCATTTATTAGGTTCTTTTGCAATGCGGAATTCCCCGTTTACCAAACTTTTAAAACATAACAAGTTGACCAAATGAATGAGGTTAATATAAATGACATATAGACATTAACATTATCAATAATGTCCTTCCTCTAAATTCTTCATGTAACTACGTCGCATCTCTTGGTTTGCGTTAGTATGTCTTATCAACCCAACACTTGTCAAAATAAAATGCTACGTTAGGAAGCTTAGTGAGTTGAATACGGGTTATAAATCTCAAAATTATATCTAAACATTGAAAAAAATAAGTAATCTAACAAATATAATTGTCCTTTTTAACAACTTTTTATTTTGGTAAAATGAGTATATTGTACAAAACATGGTATTTCAAAGTATATTCCAAAATTCCGGACTACTAATTCCATATTACAATTTTTATGTTAATTTCAATTTATGTTGGTCATTTGTAGTATGATCATCATGTGGTTTAGTTGTATTTTCTAACGATTATTAGTGAAACTAACTCATATATTTCCAAGGAAACAAAAAATCTAATGCAAAAACTAGTAATTATAAAAACTCAAATATGTTCAAATAATAATATAACATGCAAATGGACCCCACTTTTTTCGTGTACCCCATGCAATTTGTGCAAATTGCCTTTTCGATATGAGTTGACCGGGTCTTGGTGCAACCCTACGCACAAATTGATCAATGACAACCCTTTCTAGGAACCAACATAATAAAACTTCACAATCCATTTTATCGCAAAAATTTAAGATACGTTTTTGCCATTCACAAGGTTGAGTGTGAAAATCTCTAAGGGGATTACATATTTGGATTTGGTACCCTAATACTTGATAGCCATAAGGAGTTTGTAGATACATCCTCAAATAATTATAAACCAAGATGCATATTTTGAAAAATAGTTGTTAGCTTGGTAACCATCGTATATAGTGAGAGAGGACATCTGGAAATCCAAAACATGCAAAAATCAGTGGGCATTTTGTATAATAATAAGGATGTTTAGTTGCACAAAAGTTTGAAAACAACATATAATGATATAACATTTTCTTATAAGTGACTATTACTTAGATAATGTAATTAAAACAAAATACATACTATTACACTTAGACTTAGCGAGGTAAAGAGATCCATAAGCCATGTCATGCCAATCCTAAAAACCAGTGTTGAAAATTGTTTGTAAAAAATTCAACTGAGCATGATCCAACCTTCACTGTGGAAGCAAGGAAATCCAGAGCATGATGTGTTGTCGGTTAACACATGTATACAGTAGATTAATAGAGTAATAAACATAACTAAATGTTTAGTGTATAATTATTACATATGTAACACTTATTTTTCATAATAGGTATCAGGGTGTTAGTGTAATTTGTTTATAGGATATATAAAAGGAATAAGCAAAGGATTTTTGCTCGAATAATTCTACAGATTGATGGGTTTTTAGCATATAAACAACCCTATATGAGCATGCAACCATAATTGTTGAATCTATGTTTTCTCTATTTGACATACAAACATTGAACACAAAAACTAGAAACCCTAGGAGGCATGTATATTTTTCGAAATCAACATAAAGCTAGGGTTTAGATACATACCTTTATTGTTATGTAGTAATAACAATGATTCCTTTGAAGATCTTGACTTGAGAACAAGTGCCACAAATGTAACACCTCTAATGACTCACAAACACACCAATGCAAGAGGATGATTGAGAAAGAGGAGAGAGAAGGGAGACACTCAAATTTACGACTCTTCTAGGATTTCCAAGGAGTGGTCGAAACTTGATGGGGGTGATGCTCCTCTTATAGTCAAGGTTGCTTAGTCCCAAAGCTAGGGTTTTCAGGTGGAAACCCTAATTTCCAGCTTAAGGCCTAAGCAGCAACGGATCCACCTCCTTAAGGCTTTGGACGAAATCCTAAGGGTCTCCCTTATAAATTTCGGCCAACCTTGTTTAGGGTGATCCAAGAGCCCAAACCACATCTATTAATTAATTGCAAAACAACCCCTGTACTTTCAATTAATTTCTTTAATCTCAAAATTAATTCCAAATTCAATTCTATTTAAATATTAATTAATAACATGACTTCTAATTAATACATTACTTCCAAAATATATTAATAAATCATTTACTTCAATTTATTAATCAAATTAATAAATTCTTCTCTTCAATTAATCATCCTGTTTAGTTGCCAGTGTGAAGACAACCCAAAAGAAATATGCTACTATCAATTGTAGTATATACCAAATATAGTTATGGGCTTAGACACCTAATTCAACAGTCACCCACTTGGATAAGTCTAATAACTATAATTGCAAGTATATCTCCAAAAAGTGACAAGCAAATTGTAGCTCTTAAAGCCACTGACGTGGACAAGATATCATGTGGACAAATGACATGTAACATAATCGTTCTCATTGTCCAACAGTTTGTTTCCCGATTTCTGATTTGTAATGACAAAGAACTTAATTGAACACATCAATTTAGTCCTGAACGGGCTCGCCAAATAATTCAACACGAAATCATCGAGGGGCCCAAGATATCAATTTTCCCATTAGGGCAAAAGTAACAAATAAACTTTGACTTATATGCTTGCACTATTTACTCATCAAATCATGCACAACAATACGTTTTATAACATCAAGTTACCGATACATTTACGCATTATATCTCCATTTTAAGATTATACGATATTATCACCTCAGAATTACTCGTGATAAATTCTATGAAGTAATTCACTCAATGTGGGTTTATGTAACATCCCAAAAACACAGTCTGAAAATTTCGTTTAATTTAATGATAAAACCATAGTCAATAAACCTCATATAGAAATCATAAGCAATGTATCTCAAAATATTATAACAACTGTCAAATATATCAGAGTGTAAACATCCCAGACTGAACAAATGGTGTGTGCACTGCAATCTTCCCGAGCTCCTCTTTTGAAAACTGAGTACCTGAAACCAAAACTGAAACTGTAAGCACAAAGCTTAGTGAGCTCCCCCAAAGTACCACATACCATACAATAACATATAAACACATATTGGGCCTTGCCCACTGCATCAGACCGAAGTCCGGAAACTGCATCGGACCGAAGTCCGGAACTGACTGGGACCTTGTCCCCTGCATCGGACCGAAGTCCGAAACTAACTGCATAGGACCAAAGTCCGGAACTTACTGGGACCTTGTCCCCTGCATCGGACCGAAGTCCGGAACTAACTGCATCGGACCAAATTCCGGAACTGACTGAGACCTTATCCCCTGCATCGGACCGAAGTACGAAAAGTAACTGAGCATAGCATAACATAGCATAGCATAAACATATCAACTAGCATGAACACATAAACTGCATACTGCATCGAGTCGTAGCCCGGAACACATAACACATAAACACTGTCTGAGCCACGAAGGCATCAAACATTCTAACTACTGCATTAGACCGAGGTCCGGAAACTACTACTAATTAAACGGGTCGGCATTGTGGCCTTAGACCCGTTCCTACTGGAAGGAAACTCACCCCACACTGCTGAAGTCCCGTAGGCTCAATCCCACCCTGCTGAAGTCCCGCAGACTCGACCCCAGCTGTTAGATGATAGATTCCTGATCTGTCAACATCAAAATCACACCCAATTAATAATTGGGTTCCACTACATAACTATAATTACATACTTTGGATAATTACTACATTCCCCAAGCTTGGCTTACCCAAGCCCAAGGTCCAAACCCTAGGCCCAAAGTCAACTAGGGATCAAAGCCCAACGTATAGCCCAATTTTCTAAATTGGGCCCAAACCTCTACATGGACTTCCTTTAAGGCCCAATTGCTCAGTCCGATCCAACATGTCTTATTCTAAGGGACCAATATCATACAACCATCTAGGCCCAAACTATGGCCCATCTATGGCCTAATTTTCCAAATTGGGCCCAATCCTTCATTAGGGCCTTACCCTATAGCCCAACTAAATATTCTAGTCCGTAATCATTCTTGGATGGCCCATCATTGGCCTAATTACCAATTACCCATTTGAAAAGCCCAACTTAAGGCCCATGTGACATTAGGGTTTCACATAAAATGACAATTAGGGTTAAGTGTTTCTCACTTAACGCATTAAGGGCTTAACCCACTAAGGACTTAATCCATTAAGTCCATTATTACTTAGATTAATTTATGCCAATGATTATTATTTAATATTTCACTTATTAAATAATTCTTGTGTGTGTCCTGATAATTTCTCAAATATTAGTATTTTCTCAATCAGTCCATTAAGGACTTAGTCCATTAAGTCCTTTATTCTACTAGATAAATGACATGAAATAGTTTGGGCTTAATTCACAATCCAATCCCAATGGCCCAAAAGTGGGTCCAAATAAGTCCAAGGCCCAATTACCATAATTTGGGTTTTCCGCCCAAACATAGCCCAATAAGCCCAAAACTAATCTCTAAGCCCATTAGGGTTTTCTAGTGGGGCACCACCCACTACCACCTAGGGTAGTGGTGGTCAATGGCGGCTTACGGTGGCGGCCACCACCCTAAGGTGGTGGTTTTCCATTTCTTTTCATTAATCTTTTGGAAATTACAATTATAATGCTTTATACACATACACTAACTAACACACACACATACACAAACACACAACCACCTAAGTGGTGACTGGCGGTGGTACAAGGTGGCAGCCACCTCCTCATGGTGGTGGTGGTGGCTGTTCTCATTATTCGATTATACAAAACACACCCACTAACTATGGAAATACAGCCCTAAACACGTTTTCTTATTTGCACTAAGGACCCAACCACCCACCTGGTGTCTCACGGTGGAGGCAACAACACTAGAAAAGCAGCAGCGACGGTGGTAGGCGGCGGTTGCACGAGATGGTGGCAGCAATGGTTTCCCAGTGGGACAACAATTCCACGAACACTACCACAATACCGACTGAGCTATCCACGAGAACCGGTGACCAATTAGCTTCACAGAAACGCACAATGGCGACGTTGTCGGCTGGTGGTAACGATGGCATTAGCGTTATTGGCAGTGCTACAACGGCGCTCACGATGGTTGGGGCAGCGACACGAAACGGTAGACCGTCGGGATGGAAACCGCTGACCGGAGCAACAGAAATGAGTCCTCCAACAACGACAGAAGCGGCAGAAACGGGGAGGAAGCGATGTTGTACCCATCAGAAAGAAATGGAGAAAAGAGAAGGCTGAGCGACGGCGAACTAAGCAGGGGAACGCACCCAATCCCAACCACTCTCGCGGTGGCCCATGGAAGTCGTAGAAAAACGATGGAATAGCCTGGCTTTGTCGGTTATACAAGCGGTGGCGGCGGCTAGCTGATGTGGAATGGTCTCGGAAGAGGGGACACCATGGTAATCTCGGCACCGGCCACAGGCCCGTCATCGGAGTCGCATGGAGTCGCCGACGATCCTACTATGGCCTCACGGAGGCAGTTGCTGGGACGAGGGGAAAGGGGAATAAGGTGAAGATGGCGGCTGCATAAGTGGTGTGTAGGGTTAGGGTTTCCAGCGAATTAAGGTTTCATATATACCCACCCATATGACATCTTTACCATAATTACAATTATGGTCCCTCCCCATGGGATCTTTTCATTTTTAATCCATTAATTACCAAACTCACCCTAACTTCTGTAATTATGACTTTTAACTCCTCAAAACTAACTCCTTGCTCAATTATTATTTATTTTAGGGATTCTATACATTTATTTATTTATTTTATAAACGGGGTGTTACAGTTTAACCCAATAATTAAATCCCCATTTGAAAAGTACTCAAGAACGTTGTAGCAAACCATTGCTATGTCTAAACACTAGATAATCTACAACCCAATTCATGACAGCCTTAATTCACTACTTACTTCCAAAGTATGATCTGCTATGGATTATTTGAATAATCTAATTGTAACACCCGATTCTTGGTACACAGTTAATTCAAGCATTTGTTGTGTTTTTCTCTGGGACTCGACGAGTTGGAGGCCCAACTCGTCGAGTAGAGTCGAGATACGCGGACAGTTTAAGTGACCTACTTGATGAGTCGGAAGACTGACTCGGCAAGTAGGTTCTGTTTGGGTAAAACCCTAAATTGAGGGTTTGCACCCTATTTAAACACCTTATCTCAACCTCCATCGCCCTATTATTCCCAGAAAGCATTATCTCGAAACCCTAGCCTTGTGTGAGTGTCCTAAGGCCATTTTGGTGCATTTTGGTGGATTGTGAAGCTTGAAAAGAGGAAGGAAGCTTGGGAGTTCGAGTTGGGGATTGGAGATCCAGATATTTTGTTCCATTTCCAGCTGATTCAAGGTAAAATGCACCACTCTTGGTCTTCCATGTGTTTATTTATCCTTACGGTTTGGATTTTGAGTATCTTTAGAGCTTTCTAAGCCATTTTCGGAATTGTGAAGGGTTATTTAGGGTTTTAACTTCAGATATGGGTCATTGGAGGGGTCTCATGGCATAAAGGTGCCAAATCTATAGCCAAGAGAGCCCCATGCACTTTTTAGAGCATCTTTTATTGCTTTTTAAGCCAAAGACCCTTTGCATGTGCACCAAGCTTGGAACTTTACGTGTAAATCGGGCATTAGGAGGCTAAATCTATGGTTTTGGTGTGTTAAGAACCATTTAAATTGACTGTATAGTGTTGGTCAAGGATGGACTCGATGGGTTTTTCTTGGGACTCGACGAGTCGTGGTGGATTGACAACCAAATCCTTTCTGTGGATGGATCAACTGTTAGGGAGGAAAGTCCCGTAGATGTTTAGACATGAAAAGAGACCTGGGAATCATGGGGCTCGACAAGAGTATGAACAGACTTGGAGAGTCCAAGGCAATCTCCCAATCTTTGAAGATGAACTCGACTAATTATTCATACAACTCGACGAGTCATAGACTGGTAGCATTCATATGCTCAAGATAAACTCGACGAGATCAAGGAAGAACTCACCGATAACTCGTCGAGTCGGATGAAGATGGTCTCGATGGTTTGAATGAAGGGGAACCCTCCAAGTTCTTGCTAGACTCGACGTGTGAAGTCGGGGTTGGATCGAGTTAGTGGAGTATGGACTCTGCGAGTCAGGTCAACTGGGTGTTGACTTTGACCAATGTTGACATTGCCTGGTTTGGTATGACCCTGGTTAGGGTTGCATACTCAAATGAATAACTTTGAAGTATTGTCGTGTAGGGATCGAGGAGTCGATGGTAGTCGACTTGTATGCCGAAGATAGTTCAGACAGTACACAACATCGAGGTGAGTTACCTTACAGTATGGGTGGGTCTAATGCCACAATGCCGGCCCACCATCAGGGGTATTTGGTGGATAATTGTATCTGTGATAATTATCTTGGTGTGTTTATGTGATACGGTCATGAGATATGCTTGTATGATATGCAATGTGTATGTTAGTGGTAGTAGTAGGGAATAGTTTTTCCCTCACATCGGTCGTTAGGATCGAAGGGTAGGTCAGTACCCAGATATGCCTGAATGTATGATTATATCTTGATATTGTATGATAGCAGTAGGGGGTGAAATAGTCCCCGGTTACCAGTTGAAAGATACCGATGACAGGTACCAGTTGAAAGGTACCGATGGTGATTACCGGTTGAAAGATGCCGATAGCAGTTACCGGTTGAAAGATACCGATGATATGATATTGTATGTGGTATGATGGGGGAACTCACTAAGCTTTGTGCTTATAGTTGTAGTTTTGGTTTCAGGTACCTCTTCGTCTAAGGGAAAGGAGCCGATGGTGTAGCAGCGCATCACACACACATGGTTTCCGCATTGAGTTTCTGGGATTGTACTATGATTTTCATAACTTTTGATGTCATGCGTTGGGACACAACATTATGATTTTGTAATGTGTTACTTTATTGAAAATGTTTTGGTAAAATGTCTTATAAAATATTACTTCAAAAATGAAATTTTTGGTCTCGAAATTTGGGATGTTACAAGTTGGTATCAAAGCCTTGGGTTGAGGGATTCGGACACACCCTCGGGGGTGTCTGAACTCAAACCGAGTGCTTGAAAGATTTTTTTTGCAAGGAAATGGTTTTTCTAAAATCTAAACTAAAGAGTTTTGAGAAAGAACGAGGTGTGTGATGCGTGCAACCGGACGAGCTGAAGTAAGTTTTCCCCAAGATACCCATACTTGTTATGTTATATGATATGACTATGAGAACTGCATGCTAGAATAGGGCTAAGGGTCTAGGAAGGATGCCTTGTATGCCTGCTATAGGAGCTCATCGAGCTGTATGTAGACCTGTAGTTAGCAGTGAGATAACCTGATTAGGTTATGGTTGATTCAATTACTCTATGCACGAATGTTGCTTGCTTTGTGCTATAGGGGTTCTGGCTAACTTTAACTAACTACTGAGCGGATATGTAATAGTATTCGCAAGCTAGTTAGGGAAAGATGGCAGGGACCCCTAGTGCAGCTGATGGCCGAGAGTAGGTCAGAGGGTGACCTAGGAAAGCCTAGGATGAGATCAGTTGGAGAAGGATATAGATAAGGGGACTTGGTGAAGTTGAGGCAATCCTTGAGGAAAGTGTGGATAGATACGGAAGGTAGTATGGGCCCGTAACACTGAAAGTAGAGGATCTGTACTCAAGTCAAGGAGGGTCAAGATGGAACCAGGAAACTGGGAGAGTGTGTGAGACCTCTCAAAAGTATGTATGATCCTAACGTTTACGTGTTTATTTTCGAGTATGGTGGTCACATGACATGGAGCAGGAGGCTTACGATTTGGATTAGGATCAGGATCAGGATCGGGTGCAGGGTCCGAGCAAGTCGATGACGGGCTATGCGAGTTCTTCGCATTTGAGATCACGAGAGGTATCCTTGAGGCGACCCCGGTTATTTTCGGGTCGATCAAGGAAATGATGGTTGAGCTGATGGAGGATCGCCTCTGAGCATTCAGGAGTGACTTAGCGTCCAGCCAGTCGGGAACGTGCACACTGTCCTTCAAAGACTTCAGGGGGAGTGGGGCGCCGGGCGTTCACGTGGCGAAGGACCCTATTGCTGCAAGGAGATGGATCACAGACATTGAGTCTGTGCATTTGATGAGCTTCTGCCCGGAAGGGTCGAAGGTCTGGTTTGCCGCGTGATGTTTGAGGGATAGAGCTAGAGACTGGTGGGAGTCAGTTGGTGATTTGTTGGGAGCCCTAACCATTGAGGCTATGACTTAGTCAGATTTCGTGACTCGATTCGGGGCTGAGTTTGCACCAGCTGTGGAGCTTCAATAGCTGGCCAGAGAGTTTTTAGATATGAGACAGACTACAGAGACTGCAGCGGAGATCACCGCCAAGTTCCATGAGAGGGCTTTGTTGGTACCCCAGTATGCGGGTGATGAGGAGATGCGGAAGACCCACTATCATGATATGTTGAGAGCCGACATTCAGGAGCATGTCAGCTATTCGGCCTGCCCGACCCTGGAGTCCATGATTGCCAGGGTGCGGGAGAGGGAGATAGATTTGGAGCACCTCAGGAAGAGGAAGTCAGAGATTGCGGGGGGTTTCGGGGAAGAAATACAAGGGATTCGACGCGAGGTCGAAGGGCCAGTAGGGGTGGGACTGCTGAGGGAAGTGCGGTCGGTCACATGAGGGAGTTTGTCGTACTGGGTCGGGTTCCGGCTGCTATAAGTGCGGCAAGACTGGGCATTTTGGCAGGGATTGTACTGCCCTGCTCCCAAGGTTCAGATATCAGACCTGATTTGCTTTCATTGCAATCAGAGCAGCCATAAAAAGGCCAACTGCCCTAGATTGACAGCAGCGACAACAACAATGCAAGTGGTGGCACCGACTACGATGACAGTGTGAGTTGCAGATGACCAGAAGGTCAAGGCAGAGGCTCCGATGGTGCGGAGCCGAGCATTTCAGTTGACAACCGAGGAGGCACGCGCTGCACCTGATGTGGTGACATGTACAATTTTTTCTTATGCTTTTGTTTTATGTCGTTGTGATTTTGATATGTTATGTATGTGCTCTGTTTAGGATCGTTCCATGTGAACGATATCCCAGTTCAGGTGTTGTTTGATTTGGGTGCTACCTGATCATTTATCTCTCTTGCGCTTAGCAAGAAGTTTCTTGAGTTTTCGGGCCTGTTGGATTTCCCTCTAGAGGTCGAGATTATGGACAACCGGTCAGTGCGAGCATCAGAGGTCTATCGAGATTGTGTTTTAAGGCTGTTCGAGGAGCATTACCTGGTATAGTTGGTTCCCATACCTTTGCGGGGGAACAAGGTTATTATTGGTATGGATTGGCTAAGCCCCAATAGGGAAGTGATCGACTACGCACAATAGTTGGTGAGGATCAAGACCCTAACTGGGGGAGAGCTGGTGATTCAGGGCAAGAGGCTACAACGAGGACCAACCTTATGTTCAACAAGAAGAGCTAGGTGCTACCTTCAGCAAGGTTGCACAAGATTTGTCACCTATGTTATCGATACCCGAGAGGCAGGTAAGGCGATGGTGGGCGATATGCCAGTGGTACGAG